TTGGTTCCATTGCTTCTGACCTCATCTTGTGTTTGGATTAAAACTCTACAAAAAGCTTCTTTCCAATTATACCCTTGCATTATTGTGAGATTTTCTATTTTATGTAATCGGTAGATAATTGTCGGACAATATTATATTTTTATGGCCTTCTAAGTAGCTAGGAGAAGAACAATTTTGTTGTCATGTTTGCTATTTTCTCACTTGAATTATTGGAGGGTAAACAATTGTTATCTTAATAGATTAATCACTTAAAAACGTTACTTTTCAATTTAGAATAGATAGACCATCTACTTTAAATTCGAAAAGCCTGTAAACAATAGTAACATGAATCATCTACATTTACATATAAAAATTGCAAGTTGTAGTTTTAATATGTATGCAATTTATAAATTGTTCAAAATACAAACAATTAGAAACCACATATAAACCAACAAATAATATATTCAATTAAGATTACAAACGTCATGTGGTGATATATTTGTCTTTTCAATTAGTAAATGTTAAACAACTCACATTTTAAATATTGTATTGATATGTATTGCAATTATTTATTAACAAACAACTCTCTCTAAATAATAAAATTTGTAAGCTAATTTATTTAAATAAATTTACTAGTACAAATATAAAACATAAAATCAAGAAAATAAATAAAATGATTTGAAGGATATTTTTGTCTTTACATGGATACTCTCATGGTATTAAATCCAATGTATTACTAATACCACCACATGAAAGGTATTAGTAATACCTCCTCTAATACCATGTAGGGTGTATAATTAATCCATGGATTAGTTATACTTATGCCCAAAAATTCTACCAAACATAGTACTAAATAATACCATACATAATACATGGACTATTTCTCCTAATACCTCCTACCAAACGACCCCTTAATACACAAGTCTTTTTTGGAGGGACAGTCTTACTATTTCTTTAATGCAGTAGAAGAAAGCTAGTCTGCTAAAACTACATTCAACAACAACACCTGAATTAGTTCAGATGAATCTTGGCAACCTTAAAGACACAGAAAATCACCTCTTTGAGACAATGGAATGTTCACTTAAGGGGACAGAATCATTAAACAACACAGTTATATTGAGATAATCTGAGGCAAACTCACTATCATAAAGAAATTTGGTCGGAGGGTGGAACACAACAAAGTGATGGGAGAACTTAGAAGTATCTCTAAACTGGCAAAAAGCCCTAAAAATTAATTTGGCAATATTTTCTAATAATATATCTCTTGTATCAAACACTCCTTTTCTTTTTTATTTTTGAAACTGGTAACTTTGTATAGGTATGTTGGCCACCTCGAAGACACGTGAAACTTAAGTAATTACAGTAATCCTATGAAGTCAACTAACTGTACTTAATATTCTACACATTATTACTCTTTACACCAAAAACATAAAGAAGTGATGACATTCCATTTGGGTTTAGGTATGAAGCTCACTTTGCCTTCAAAAATTCTATCATTTTTTTTCCTCCCAAGTGATGACATTCCATTTGGGTTTAGGTATGAAGCTCACTTTGCCTTCAAAAATTCTATCATTTTTTTTCCTTCCAAGTGTTCCACCAGATGCAGGTTCGCACTGTTCTCATTGATATTTTCTGACTCTTGCTACCTCCCCTCCTAATCCAACAGCTTAAAAGGTCAGCAGAGAACTCTAGCATAGACCAATTCACCTTAGCAATATTGATGAATAAGGCCCACACTTAGTGTTGTAACTTTACAATGTAGTAAAAGGTGATTGTTAGTCTCTTTTGCCTCCTTACATTATGAGCATCTTGAAGCTATGAAGATACCCCTTTTCTGCAGTGCTTCACACTAACCAGGTAAAACATTTCACCTTAGTTGGTGCCATATTCATATGGTTTTCCAGGGGCCTATTGACCTACCTGTCAACTCACTCAGATGCCTTTGAACACCTTGTTCACTGAGAACACTCCATCTTGGTGGTGTCTCCATATGACGTTATCAGATTCCAGAGTAGTTCCTTCGAAGCCACCAGCTAGAAACAACAATTATGCCACTCTTGCTGTTTCCCAATCACTTAACAGCCTTCTGAATGCTAAAGTCCAGCCTTTAGCTGGGGAAATAGATCCTGCAAACCCCCTATCCACTCCAGTTCTCCTTCCGAAAGAAAATCTTGTCACCCCTGCCAATCATGTAGTATGAGTTCACCTTCAAAGCTAACCAGAAAAATGTGATTTGATGGTCCTTCATACTCCCACCCCAAAGAGACTGCATTATCAAAGACTTTTTTTTTATGAAGGTACTTGAGATGGTGTTTGTGCACCACTATTCAATTTGTCCATATTTATGTTGGATCACCTCTCTCCACAGGACCTGCTCTTCTTGATTATACCTCCATATCCATTTCATGAGTAAGCTTTTGTTCTGTAGCCTAACATTTTTCACCCCAAACCTTCATGTCCTCTGCTTTGTTGAACTGACTCCCACTTGACCAAGTTGAAGCTCTGCCCACTTCATTTCCCTACCACAGAAAATTTATTCTAAAAAAGAAATGTCTAGACTCTAGTGCCTTGATCACCTTGCTAGGGATAGGAAAAAAAGACATCACATATGTAGGCAAAGCATCTAACATAGAACTGAGCAAAGTAAGTCTTCCCCACAAAGAGAGGTATTGAGACTTCCATAAAGCTAAATTTTTTTCTCAGTCGAGACTATAATGACATCCCAAATTCCCAAAGCTTTATGCTTTGAGCCCAAAGGCATTCCAACATAGACAGTAGGCAAGTTCTCAACCCTACAGTCCAAACTGCTTGCTAACAGCTGAATTTGTTGAACCTCTTGAAGTTGAAAAAGGCTAATTTTCCTCCAATTGACTTCCAATACAGAACAAGCTTCAAAGACAAGCAGAATCAATTCAGTTGCACCCACCTTCTTAGGAATCAAAGGCACAAAGGTGGCATTGAAACTTTTCTCAAACATCTGTTGAGAATAAAAGTTCAGGAAGGTTTGCACCAAGTCATCCTTAAATACAACCCAAAAAGCCTTAAAAAGGTCATTGTGTATCCATCTGGACCAGGTGTCTTATCAATAGCACACAGTCTGATCCCTTCAAGTATTTCATCCTCGTCAAACTGTCTTGTTAGCCAATCTTGTTCAGCTGTTGCAATACTTGAGACACCTTGAATGTCAAGGCTTGACCTTCACCTTTCTGTTTTTCCCAGTATAGATTCTGGTAGAATTCCAAATTGAACTCTTTATAGTCAAAGGCTCAGTGCTACCAACTCCATCAATATGCAAAGAGTCAATTGTACTGAATCTTTTGTGAGTTGTCGCCACCCTATGGAAGTACTTTGTGTTTTTGTCCCCATTCTTAATTCTTTGGACCCTAGATCTTTGTCTCCAAGCAATCTCTTCATTCCTGGACACTTCTTCACAGTGTTGTTAAAAGCACTGAAGTGCTCGCTTTAAGTGATGCGACAGGCTTTCGCTCTAATGCCTTGAAGCGAGGCGATGGTGAATAAGGGGGCACTTCTGGGGGAAGCATGCTTTTTTTAAAAGCGAGAAAAAGCTCGCTTGAGCGAATTAAGTGCTAACTAGGGTTTTTCTAAAAAAAATTATAAAAATACTAACGCAAGTTTTTCCAAAATTTTCCCTCCTTTGTGCAACTGCTGCTGAAGCGCAAGGTTAATTTTTTCTTCTTCTTTTTCTTCTTCTCTTTCTGTTTCTCTGCTGTGCAAGGTAACTAGGTTTTTTTTTTCAATTTGCTGTTAGTAGCATTACCCTGTTTTTTTTCTTCTGATTTAAGATTCTCTGTTACTGTGTATGCTCTGTTTGTAAACTACTGCCTATGCTCTGTTACTGTGTATGCTCTGTTTGTAATACTACTGCCTATGCTCTGTTACTGTGTATGCTCTGTAATAATACTGCCTATGCTCTGTTTTTTTCTTTTCTTGTTTTGCTGCTCTGTTTTGTCTCTATTTTTTTCCCCTTTTTTTTTTTGCTGCTCTGTAACTTCTGTGGCTGTTCTCTTTTTGCTAGTAGTAAGTTCTATTTTTTTATTCAAGTTCAATGACACAAAAAAGGGAACCAACTTGGGTGTTTGGAACTCCAATGAAGAGTAACACAAAAGTCAAATGTGTCTTTTGTGATATGACATACACAATGGACTATCTATATTTGTTTGATATGTTACTTCTATGGAGTTCTTGGTTATTTATCTATGCATATTTAAGATGTTTTGTCTTTGTACTAAATAGCGGTTTATTTGAAAAAAAAGTGTGTGCTTCGCTACACACTTCTCACTTCGTTGAAGCAAGCCCTCGTCGCTTTTTTCCGCTTCTCGCTTCCCAAAACACTGCTTCTTCATATTCCACAGCCAAATCAGCCTTCTGAAACTGTTCATCTTCAGTTAGTGGTCTCTGCTTTTGGATAAGATCCAAATTACCAGCTTGTGACAATATTTATTTTTTGCTTCCTTCCAGTCTTTGATTTTCCTTTTATAAGACTCGGCTTGGAAGCTAGCTTGAAGTCTGTTCTTCATGATACATTTAAAGAAGTCCACCACTCCTGCACTTAACTCCTGAAACCCCCCACATAAAGCCACCATTTTGAAACTTAAAATTCCAATCCCCACAAGAAAACATAATTGGATTATGATCTATCCCAAATTTGGCAATATACTTGGGTTGATCTGTTGAAACATTTCATCCCACAGCAACAAGTAAAGGAATCTATCAATCCTGGAAGCACATCTGCTATTTTCACCCCCTCTCCAAGTATAGGATCCCCCAAATAAATGAGGATCAACAAGAATAACCCATATTCAAGTGTTTTTTTGGTGTGCTTCAAAATTCTGTGAAAATAGGTTTCAACATGGATCTTTCCATGGCATGACTTGGATGATTCCGTGTCTCAAGTTAGGTATCCTCAACTATAGCAACACTGGTATAGCCTCATATCAGCATCAAATGCTTCCAGTATTGAATTGAAAAAACAAAACAAAGAGAAGTCCAATACTACTCACCAGAAGTCCAAAAAGAGAAAGACCTTCCTGACGAATTACATGAGACCGCAGAAGATTTGGGTCCTGATTCAAAAGAATCAGAATGTCTGTCCTGCATCCATTAGAATTTTTTGTAATAAGAACTTCAGAGGGGAACACAAGGTGCATGCACAAAGAACAAGAAAAGAAAAAGAATCTACTTGCTGAAGGTTAATGTTATGGTCCATTACCCCATCAGTACAAGCTTTTTGTCGGAGCTCTGCAAAATATCAACTATAATATCGAATATGCCCTCATTAACAAGATCCCTGCAACCATTAACATATTTTCAGTTCTATCACCCACAAACCATAATTCGAGAAAAGTTCACTTGCCAGAGAGTAACAGATCTAAAATTAAAACAATCATCTTCATGCATACAGGACAACCATTTCTAGAACAAAGGAAAAGCCTGTGATGCATACCTGAGCAGCCGAACTTGCTGGACCATCTGTAAGCTCTTACTCAACGTGCAAAACTCATGCAAAAAGTGTATCTAATACAATAGGAAAAAGAAAAAGAAGAATCAATAACCATATGACCATGAGACTACTACTACTCAGAGGTTTCCTACCCAAACAACAAAAAGGAAACAAAATAATAGGTACATATCCGAATTTGAAGAAGATACTAACATGTGCTATGTAAAGAGTTAGTAGCAGTTGGTAGTAGAAGATACAAATGAAACTAGATACTCATTCTTATAGAAGAGTTAGTAAATATGAAAAATAGCCAAGTCCGACAGAATCATGTTTCAAAAGACGTGAAAAAAAATTGTCTCCACTAAGATTCTTTACCAAATTTTTCTTTGATTCTGCAGAAGTAGAAGGTGAACTCAACTTCGCAAATAATTCCTGAATAAAGGTATTATCATCTTTCAGGCGAGATACAACCTGTATCAAAATCAAAAGGTCAGTGGACTGTAAGCATGAGATTGAGCTTAAGTTACTAATATCTTACCATTGCATTGTTCAAACTGATTATGGAATTGAGATTTGCTATTGTTGCCTCATCCAACATTTGAGACAACACGACATCCTGAAATTAGTGACAAAACCAGTAAGTTCCATTCATGTTACATGCCAAAGCTTATAAGAGTACAAGATCATATTATACCTTTAGATAGCCAACTCTATAAGTTTGACGTATCTTTGAAAGGACTACCGAATCTTTGATAGGTATGGCCTATCCAAAAGGGGGAGAAATTATCAGTAAATTCAAAAGAACTTGCATTTAAACACCTCTGTCCATATTACTCAGATATGCTCAGCCGGAAACAACTAAGGGATCCGAAAATTACATAAGATACCTCCTTATATACGATGTGCTCCTTCAAAAAACTGCGATGATGGATATGTGGTGCCTCTGGGTCATCTGCAGACCAAATTTCAGGTCAATTATTCCAGAAACAAACTCAAGAAGTAGCTGGATAAAAACTTTAAAATTACTTGAGGGGCGTAGCAGCAATCCCTATTTTACAGATTACATGCATATCAAGGATCCTACTTGCATAAAACTTGAAATTATTCACCAAAGAACAATGAAAACCAGAGGTCTCTAATACCAACACAAATAAGAATTCACACATTCAGCAGAAGATGAACGTAGTGAAGATGAGGATGCTTAAGTGGATGTGTGGGCACACTAGGAGAGTTAAGGTTAGGAACGAAGATATATGAAGTAAGATGGGAGTGGCCTAAGTGGTGGACAAGATGCGGAAAGCAAGGCTAAGATGGTTTGGGCATGTAAAGAGGAGCATAGATTCCCCAGTGAGGAGGTGCAAGAAGCTGACAGTGATAGGTTTAAGCCAAGGTAGAAGTAGACCCAGGAAAAGTTGCGGAGAGGTGATTAGACATGACATGACATGTCTTTAGTTTCCCGAGGACATGACCCTAGATAGGAAAACATGGAGGTCAAGAATTAGCGTAGAGGGTTAATAGGTGGTCGAGCAATTTCTCTCTGTCCAGTGGGAAAGCTTGGCTCTATCTTACAGCACCTTGTCTGCTCCCTCTTCTACTTATCAAGATCATTATTATTATTCTATTATTATCTTATTTTTCAACTGCATTACTATTATTGTTGTTTTTACTTGGGTTATCATTTCTATTTTTGTTTGTACTTTTCTTTTCTGCAATACTCTTCCACCATAGCTTTCTCTTGTATTTGTCAAACCTATTTTTGAAAATGTTTTTCTTGAAACGAGGGTCTACTGGAATCAACTTTTAAACCTCACACAAGATAAGAGTAAGGAATGCGTAAACCCTATCCTCCCCAAACTCTATTGGTAGGGTCACACTAAGAATGTTGTTGTTGGATATTCTAAAGCATCACAAAGAATAGACAAGGAAAACCTATCAGTTGTGTATGGAGCACCAATAAACTTGATCGCTCATTTTTTTGATGAAACTTGATAAATCATTTACTCTAGTAGATAATGTCATCAAAGATCATTTCACTTTGTTTCATAAATTTCAACATTCCATGACCGCAATTTACAATGAATAAAGCCACGTCACAACAAAATGCATGTAATCTGTGGCTCAACTTCCAAAAAGTAAATGCAATACTTTTATCCTATTTAGAGCATTATATACATTTATCTACTTCAATCAAGATGGCATGAAGTTATTTTGGGAAAGGTGGTGTGGCCTCCATGGAGAACAAGATGAGGGAACCGAGGTTGAGATGATTCGGACATGTGAAAAGAAGGTGTGTGGATGCGCCCGTAACGAGGTGTGAGAGGTTGACAGCAGGAGCAAAGCGAGATAGAGGTAGGCCGAATAAGAACGAACTAGGGGAGGTGATTAGACAGGATATGGCAAAACCTCATTTTACCGAGGGCATTACCCTGAATAGGAAGATATGGAGGCTGAGGATTAAGGTAGAAGGATAGTAAGTAGATGAGTATTGTAGCACCTTAAGTGGGAGAGGGAAAGGGATAGCTTCCTCCTCTTCGCTTCTTAGTACTAGTAGTATTATTTAGCAGTCACGCATTCTCTTGTTCTTCAATGTATATTATTATGAGTTGCTTCCTTGCTTTGTCTCTTGCTCTTTTTGCTACCATATTTGTCTAGCAAACCTGCTTCAAAAATTTTATCTTTCGAGCCGAAGTTCTATTGAAAACTGCGTCTTTACCCCAAAAAGTAGGGCTAAGGTTTGTGTACATATTACCCTCTCCATACCCCACTTGTGGATTGGAATGGGTATGTTGTTGTTGTAATCAAGACGACATGAGAATCACCATAAGAGCAGGAACCCAATCACAAGAAGATTTAATCCGAACCTAAACCAAAACACAGAGTCTCCATGGGGAAAACTAAGCTGTCCCACATTTTTTTTTTGATAAGGTCAAAATTGCCCCATATTCAAGCTACAACAGTCCTTAAAGAGAAAGGAGAACCCTATCAAGATAAAAATGGATCATTTCAACTGGAAACAGAAAGTAGATGACAAACTTACATTCAAGGCATCCAACAATATCCAAAATCAACTCATCACCAAATATTTTTTCAAAGATCTGGGAACTATTGAGCAAAACTGCAGAAACCATAAAATCGTAAAGTTACTGAAATATAAGTATTAAACAAATATTGAAAAAAAGCAGGCAATACTAACTAATTCCTCTAACTATTTTGAAAATGATGTGAAGACTGTCAACATTCTCCAGGTCTTCACAGATTCTGAATAAATCCATCAGCTTTCCGAAAAAATCTTGCTGCAATAACAACAAATATCAACTCAGACGATTCAATTGTAGAAACTGAAAACAAGAAAAAAGAACAAACGGCAGAAACAAGTAGCTTTTACTATGGAGAAATACTATGCAACTGACTTCTCTTTGATTCTGTGTTCCTTTTTTGCTTCTTTCTTTTTTTTGGAAAGGGAGGGTGTTTGCCTTGCATATAGTGAAATAACTTACTGGGTGCAGGTAAAACAAACTTGTGTTTTCCTTGAGGATTTTTCCACAATAAGTAGCTAACATATCCAAAGCATCGGTGTTGTCAAAGGTGCACTTAAGCCCGAAGCAAAGCTCAAAACATGTTGAGCGGCGAACGCTTCGCGTCACTTGATGTGCAGTTCAATGGCACCATCAAGGCTCTAAGACAAGCTTTTGCTTGTGAATGAGCATTTCCTTGAGAGGGGACACTAGACAATTGATATTTCACTTTATAATCAATTTCTTTGTCCATATATTGGTTATTCATGCTTATAATTATTAGTTTTGGACTAAAAATATATATATGTATTTTTTTCTCCATTTGCGCCCTTTTGCATTAAAGCCCGCGCTTAAAGCTTCAATGAACCTTAAAGAGTTTTTTTTTCCTCTTTTCTCTTTTGATAACACTGCTAAGCGTTTCAATCTACGAAATCTAACAACAGTTCGAATTCTAGAATGCTGAAATGATAGTCACAAATACCTTTTAAAATAGAGGAAGTAAAATCCAGATTAATTCCGCAAATGAATTTCTTTTATACCCGAAAAATCTCTAATATCCAGTGGCGCACGGTTCGAAACTCGATTGGATAACGGCACACCCTCTACCCTTATCCACTTAAATATCATGTCTTTGGCTACAACGGGTCCGAAACAGGGACTTGCACCTAACCCAAAAAACTCACACTACGCTCTTACCACTAGAGCGAAGCCTTGGGCCTTCTCGAATGAAAATTTTGTGGAATGGAACCAGTTGATGATGGCATGAGCCCTTTTTCAAGTTGTGCCTAAAGGTGGGATTACATGAAGACAGGATAGACAGAGTATTGGATAGCTTTTCTTACATGACCACCACACAACATGACCAATTTAAATGGACTTGAAAAATCAACTAGCAGCCATACTTTTTTAATGATAACTAGCAGCCATATTTTAATATCCCAACTTCTCAAATGAGACAATTTATTATGACTCATCATCATAAGTAAAGTTCCTTGCACAAAGTCAAACGTGATGTGATAAATAATTGATTCTAACAAAAAGAAGATGCATTTAAAATGTCTTCCTTCTTTTTTTTTCCGAAACTGGTAACTTGTATTCCTCAGCATTAAGGGCAATGTTGGCCACCTCCAAAAAGTAGTAACAGATAAGGGAGGGAAAAAAAGAAACATAAATACTTACAAAGAACCTATGAAACCACTAATTGGATTTCCCTTCTATATTTTGTTCTTTACACCAAAAACCTAAGGAAGTAATTACTTTCCATTTAATCTTTTGTATTGAGCATTCTTTTTCTTCAAAAATCCTCTAATTCCTTTCCTTCCAAATATTCCACCAGATACAAGCAAGTATCATCCTCCACCACTTCTTTTGACTCTTGCTGCCCCCCCTTCTGATCCAACAACTCAATAAGTCTGATGTGTGTTCTGGCATACACTTGTTTAGGCTAGTTAAATTGAAGAATAAAGCACATATTTGTGTTGTTACATTGCAATGCAAAAATAGGTGTTTGCTGGTTTCAGTGCCTCTTTGCATAGTTAGCATCTAGAGGCTATGTTGATCCCCTTTTATGTAATGCTTCATGAGTCAAATAGGCTCTCCTAGCTACCAACTAGACAAAACACTTCACTTTAGTGGGAGCCACACTCTTCCAAACAACACTCCATGGCCCTGTTACCCTTCAACCAGTTACCGATAGACCCCACTTATACAATCTGTTGACAGAGAATCTTCCACCTGGGTGTTTTCTCCATAATAGACTGTTTGTTTCCAAATTAGTGCCTGGAAAGCCTTCTATCATATTCAGTAGTTCAATTACCTCTTCTATCTCCCAGTCATTTAACAACCTTCTAAATGCCAAATTCCACCCTTGTTGAGACCACAACTCACTGTTTTTGCTATCCGGATGCACACTGATAGAACAAAGTCCAGGAAACAAACTTTGAAGAGATCCTTGACTAGTCGAGTCTTCTTTCCATAATAAAACCTTATCCCCTTCCCAACTTTAACTTGTATATTAACTTCTAGAGCTGGCCAAAAGCTTCTGATAGTCCTCCATACTCAAACTCCATAAGTGATTGTTACTTCACTTGAACACTATTCCCCTTCTTGGCCAAATTTGTGTTGTATCACCTCTTTCCATAGTGCATGCTCCTCTTGGTTGTACCTCCATAGCCACTTGCTCAGCAGACTTTAGTTCTGTAACTAGAGCTTCCTAACTCCCTAACCCCCACAATTCCACCCTTATTGAACTTCTGTCCATTTTACTAAATTGAAACTGCTCTCAATTTTATTTCCTTGCCAAAGAAAATTCCTTCTCAAAGCATCTACAATTTTGATCACCTCACCAGGTATAGGGTAAAGGGACATCACATAAGTTGGTAAGGAATCTAGCACAGAGTTTATTAAAGTGACTCTACCTCCCAATGAAAGGTATTGAGACTTCCAAAGTGCAAACTTCCTCTCAGTTTTCTCAATAATTCCATCCCAAATAGTAATTGTTTTATGGTTTACCCCCCCCCCCCAATTGCCTAGATAGACTATTGGTAGCTTCTCTACCTTACACCTCAAGATATTTGCTAGTGTTTGTATCTGTTGAACTTCTTTTATAGGAAAGATACTGCCTTTTCTCCAATTAACCTCGAGTCCAGAACAAGCCTCAAAAACTACCAGAATCACCCTTAAATAGCATAATTGTTCATGGTCTGCTTCACTGAACACTATTGTATCATCGGCATACAGTATATGTGTCAACTCCATATTCTCATTTGCCATGTTTCTTAATTTGAAGCCTCTGATCCAATTATTTAGCGACGCTTTCCTCATTAAACTGTCCAATCCCTCCATAACTATAATTAAAAAGAATGCAGATAGAGGATCCCTCTGTCTAAATCCTCCTGCTGGGAAAAAACCTGAAGGTTCTCCATTAACAAGGATGTAGAACCTGGTGGTTTTAATACAAAAGTCTATCCAACCAAGCCAACAAATTCCAACCCCATCTATCTAAGAGTGTTGATCAAGAACTTCCAATTTAAATGGCCATACGCTTTCTCAATATCTAACTTGCACATAAACCCCGTATCATCTCCTCTAATTCTAGTGTCAATACACTCACTAGCAATTAAAGCAGCATCCATTATCTGTCTACCTTCAATGAAGGCCATCTAATGTTTGTTCACAAGCTTGCTTATCACCCTCTTCAATCTCTTTACTACAACCTTGGCTATAATTTTGTACACCCTTGTGATCAAACTAATTGGTCTAAAATCTCTCAGATCATTTGCCCCCACCTTCTTTGGAATAAAAGCTACAAATGTAGCATTAAAACTTTTTTCAATTTTTTTATGAGTGGTGGAAGTTGTGGAAGGTCAACATTAAGTCCTCCTTTACAGTTTCCTAGAAAGTTCTAAAAAAACAATTGTGTAACCATCTGGGCCAGGTGCCTTGTCTACTGCACACATTTTGATCCCTTTTTAACATCTCTTCCTCTTAAAACCTTCTTGTAAGCCATTGTTGCTCCTCCATAGTAATAGTTTGAACTTCAAAAATATTCAAATCTGATTGCCAACTTTCAGATTGTTTGTAAAGATTTTTTATAGAAATCCACAGTGGACCTCTTAATTTCCATAGAATCAGAGGACATAACCCCATCGATCATCAAAGAATCTATAGTGTTGATTCTCTTATGCGCAGTGGCCATTCTGTGGAAATACTTTGTGTTCTTGTCACCCCCTTTGTTCCACTGAATTCTGGATCTCTGTCTCTAATGGATTTCTTCATTTCTATCCAACTCTTCATACTCCATGGCCCAGTGGGCTTTCATCAGTAACTCATCATCGGTAAGAGGTCTGGCCTCTTGTATGAATTCCAGACTCCCAATTTACTCCAAAGGTTGATCATTTCTAGCCCTCCAATTACCATTATTCTCCTTTCTCCATTCTTTGAGTTTTACTTTCAAAAGACTCAGTTCTGTTGCTAACTTAAAGTCTGCTCTTCCTGTCTTATTAAAAGAATTTCACCAGTCTTGTATTTTGGATTTAAGCCCTTCCACATTAAGCCACCATATTTCCAACTTGAAATATGCTCTCTTGAAGACCTCATCCCCACATGACAACAAAATTGGGTTATGGTCAAAACCCAAACTATTCAAGGAACTCTGTATGATTTTATTAAACAACTTGTCCCAAGGAAATGAATACATGAGACTGTTAATCCTTGATGCATTTCTATGATCTGACCCTCCTCTCCAAGTGTAAGATCCCCCAAATAAAGGGGGGTCTACTAGCTCAGTTCATTGATACAGCTAGAGAAATCTACCGTTGCTCCTGAAAGTTTGGTATTATTTGTCGTTTTTGAAGGGAATCTGTTAGTGTTGAATCGCCACAAACCACCCAAGGTCCTTTACAAAAGCTTTTCATTGCACCTAATTCTACCCATAACTCCTTCCTTTCATTTCTATCTCATGAAGCATATACTGCTATAAGAAACCAAGTGAAATCTACATTAATGCCGATCAACTTGCTACTGCTCATCTGATTTCCACTCTCCACCATCTCCCAAGACCTTTTATCCCACATAATAATTATACCCCTTTTACTACCTAATGCCACCATCCAAATTCCCCCCCATCAATCAATTACCCTCTAGCTATTGAATATGATCTCCTACTGCTCCCTTTAATTTTGTCTCCACCAAAACTATAATATCTACTCCCCCTTGTTGTAATCTACTCCTCACCAAATTTCTCTTGTCCTCCAAGTTAAGCCCCCTCACATTCCATGATAGGTTAGTGAGCTTCATTATAACTGAGTGATTAGTTTCCTCCCCCTGCTTTTTTATTCACTCCTGGGCTTCTCTTCTTTGAATTTTTAGAAAAACAAGTTCCTCAATTCCTTCGGAACTCCCTGTTTCCCCCTTTTCTATCAAAATCGAAACAGAATTCTCTTCTTTATTTCTTTATTCCTTTCCTGGTCAATTTTTAGGAACAACACATTGGCTTCCTCTGTGCATCGTTCAAAAGCAGCTCCAAATTCTTGACTGAGCCTAGGAATATTGCTCTGTACCGAGTGATGTGCCCTCTCTTCTTCTTCTTTACTACAACCAGAAGCATCGCAAATAATAGGAGTTGGCTCCCCCGGTTGAACAAATTGTTGCATATTCCCTCGTTCTTCACTATAACTAATTTTATAATCTCTTCCCCCATTGTTGTTATCTAACAGTTCTACGAGCTTTTGTTCTTCTTCTCTTGATTTTTTTCCCTCAAGATCCTCTTGCTTCACTCTCTACCATCGCATTTTCTTCTCTGATAGCTTCTAGGTTGTTTCCTCCATATATTTTATTAAAGATCAGTTGTCCAGCACTATCTAGCTTATACTTCTTTTCTGGGGCTAAAGTACTCTTGGGCCTGGACAAGAGGCCCAAATCTGATTTCAAATTTAAATGAGTCATGTGCAAGTCACAAGTCTCATTACACCTTTCCCCTCCAGTTGTCTTTCTCTTACAACCCACATGTTGTTTCTAACTAGAATCCCTTAATTGATGGGATTCTAGTACAGAATTACAGCTTGCACTTTAGATTATCCCCTGGGTAAAACCATGTACTGGATTCAACCTTGTTTCTTCTCCATTGGTTCCATAACCTGATTCTGGTACTATTTCAAACCTGGGTTTGCACTCCACCCATATCGGAAAGTGGTAAGTAATTTCGTTCCATTCTATGGAGACCTCCTTGGGTATTTTTCTACCGTCACTCGCCACCAGAATCCTTGCCCACTTCATCTGGTTTTTTAGCTCTGTTTCTTCTTCAGTTGCAATCCATCCTCCACAGACTCCTCCAATTTCTCGGAAGACTTTCTGAGACCGCAAGTGCAGGGGAATGCCTACTAGTGTGATCCAAATTTCTTTGACTGTTAAGGAGTTTGGGATTCTTCCTATAAAAGGGTTCCACCATTCCATATGGAAGCTGCAATTCTTCCATCTCCATTGCCGTTTTAAGGTTTGCTCTGCCATGTGTTTGTTTGGAAATTCAAACAGAAATGAGTCGCCATTAAACTCGTAGATGTTGACACCAAATGCTTTCTTCCAGTTTGTTGAGGACCACCTTCTGATGTCAGCAAGTGTTGGTTTTTCCTTCAACTCCTCTCTGCAATAACCAACTACACATCTCTTGAGTAGGCTATCTTCCTGATCATTTATTCTATCAGTCACTTTTATGTTGCCAATCCTACTCTTTATCTCAACAGTGCAGAGAGTTTGTGAGCCATTTACTCTCTTGTACAACTGCTGCAAAAGGGCACTTGACATCCATCACTCTCGGAGGAGGTATCTGTACCTTTCTCCTCTGCCATTTAATGAACCTTTCTATCTTTAATGCAATATCCATCCACCCAACACTCAATGTTAGCTCTGGAATGATTAAGCCAGACCTTCCCCATCCATTTAATGAGATTATGCTTATAAATCTCCCATGTTGATTGTTCTTTCTAGTGCAAAAAAGGGCGGACTCCTTTTATGAAAATCTCCATCTCCTGATCTTTCAATGCTTTTTTCATACAAAAGCATATCCACTCCATAGATTTCTGTTCACATTGGACCTTCGCATCATCTTCCTACTCCTTTCCACCCATTCATACCATTCAGACTTGCCATTTTCCCACCTTGTAATATCAAATTACTTAAACCCTGCGTTGAAATAGATCCTATGTCCTCCATCCTTAAAAATAGAATTTCTGGTTGAGCTAAAAAAGAAAAGAGAAAAAAGAGTAACCACAGAAGGTGATAACTCAGGGAGGTGAGAGAGAGGTTTTCCGGTAAGGAATGCCGGAAAAGTGTCAAGAAAAGATGTTTCTCCTTCCTAGGAAGTAGGAGAGAGAAGGTTTTTGGTTTTCGTGCTTGAGAGCATTTGTTTAGCTCATTTCACATGTGTTTTGATAGATGTGAAAATGCTGTTATACCAGGGCCAACACTCTAAGAGAATTTTGGAAGCAGTCTTAGCTTTTGTTCATATTTTGTATAGTGAATTATAATGAATGGCAATTGTAATGGAAACCTTCACCCTTGATGAAGATTCATTGATCCAGCTACAAATTAGTATGCACAACTGAACAATTGACAAAGCTTACATCATGCAATATTAGTTCTGTCACACGCAACTGATCAGCAACACCACTCTCTACAACTATCTGCACAAGAAACAATTGAACAGCACTCTCAGAGATCCGGGATATGATTTGAAATATATACTCAGGCGTATCTTTCAACAACAAAACAAACAGGGTTTTACCATTTGGAATTTTGTTATACTGAAATTGGTCGAAAACCTTTCAATTTATTGTCATAGGTTTTTTTTCTTTGGAAGTATAGAAGCGCGGGGTGGTGTAGACAATTACTCTGGTAAAGACAAGTCTAACAAGTAACTCAGAAATATTAGAGGAAACCAGAAGTCCAGAACTTCTTATAACATAAAAGATGCACAAAGCAGGAAAATGGCAACACCTTTAATATCAAGGGAAGCGTAGATAGCTCAACTGGAGGCAGTTCTCTCAAGTCACTGCTGGCACTATGAAATGTCTCATCTGGAAATAACATCAAAAAGAAATGAACAGTAAACATATATATTGAACCATTTCAACAAAATTATTTAAAAGATACTAACTTGAGAGCACAAGAAATCCCAAGCAGCAGTAGTCCAGGAATGGAACCTTATTTAGAAGTATTGAATAGGTTTCCAGGAATGAAAAATGGTCCAGTTAGCAATACTTTCTATTCTTTTATGTTCCTTACTTCCTCGGAAAGATCCAGACTCTACTATGTAATTTTCTGGTTTCTTCAAGTAAGGATGTCTAAGTGAACAAAGGGCACAAGGGTAACAATTTGTCCATGCGTTCAACAACAACAATCATGCCTCAGTCCCGAACAAGTTGGGTCGGCTAAATGAATCTTAACTGATCATGTTTCTCCATTTAAAATCATCTCTGTTAACTGTCTGTCCATGTGTTCTAACAGTTTAATTTATGAGTATACTCACTTTCCCCAGAGACATAAGACAGCCAGGAAGAAGTCTAATAGTATTCCAGTTCACATGACAAATCATTTTTTTAATTTGGTTATCTCGGCCTCAGACGTAAGTTTGCATAATGCCCAACTACGCCAGAGTATTAACTTGAATAGCCAATCTTTAGCATAAGGTATCAGGTATACTTGCTGTGGTACCTAGCAATCATGATTTATTCAAGACAAGAACGACAGCAACTGAAACTATTTTTCAAACAACCCTTGGTAATCTTTATTTTTTAATAAAGCAGCCAACCCTTGGTAATATGAAATTTTAAACCTAAATTTAGTGTTTGATTTTGAGTTGTGAACTGAAGCCTTGGTGACTTGATGCTACAACTCCAGAAAACAATCTTGTTCCAATTCTAAACCAGAAACATATTGTGAAAGTCAGGTGTAGCTTGTTCATTTGTTCAACTGAAAAGTATGAATAAACATCTATGCATGACAAACACAGGTGTGGTTGTCCCCCGGTAAGTATTATCAATTACTAATGGCCAAAATAACTAAGCATCGAAATGGTAAGATGCTCTGTTAAACTAATGGATACAAAATATTTTTAATATAAGTAGGATGTAGAGACTTACAATTAAGGCTACTGAATTGCATGTTTCTCTGCACACTACAGATGCTGTCCCTACAGAGAGAAAAAAGAAAAGGCAGAAGATGTTATTTAGATGATCATTTGTACCACCTCCTGAAAATCTGGAAAATAAACCTCAAGAAAAATAGATTACAACCAAGAAAAAGTGGGTGAGACGCTAGAAAATTATTTCAAGACTTGCCATATGTATGAGCAGCCAGTGGTCTCTTGAAAACTAAGAGCCAGTTCAGTTGAATACTCCGGATCCCTCCAAGAAATAATTGTATCTGAGAAAAAGAAAATACTTCCCATTAAGAAGCTATATAAGACAACAGTAAAATCGTGAAAAGGAAGAATGACAAATAACTACACTTAAGAATACCTTCTTGCTTACGGTAGATATCCTCTGCACTGATGCGGTGCATAAGCAACGTTTCATGCTCGTGTTCATCAGTTACAAGTAAACCTGGTTCTTCCGATCTCTGCATCATAGAGTCCCAAGTTCTAAATATGGGGGTATTCATATTTAAGATTTTTGCCAAGAGAAAGCAAAAGGTACCAAGTTCTTGCAAGTCTTTCCAGTAACGGTTACCTCTAGATAATCTACAGTTACATGCCCTGTTCCCTGGTCATCCCACTTCCCATCATCATTCAGACGATAGACCTTTACACGCTGCACAAGAATGATATGAAGTGTAAATTACAAAATAAGCTGATCACACAAAGAAAGAAAGAAAGAAACTATTTACATAAAACTTTATACAGACAGCTAAAGAAAATTCTTTATAATTCAATTAATCGACAACAGTTTGAATCCCAAACTAGTTGCAGCCTGCTGTATGAACCTCCTTGAAGCAATCCATTCAAACACTAATTAATTTATCGAGTTAAAATAGTTCAGAGAAAAATAGATGCTTTGATATCTCTCATAGACGATCAGAATAATTTTTTTGAAATGACAATCAGAATATTTTTTTCCAATGTTCAGATGCAAAGCAGACAAACTCAGAACACAGAACAATTTATTTGCACATTTTTTTTAGCAGAAAGCCATACATAGTTACAAACAGTCTTCTGGAAAGCAAAAAGTGCAAGGGAAAGACAAGGCCTGAAGACATTAAGTGAGAATCGAAGAACAAGCTTGATAAAATGAAGTGCCAACTAAAAGAAAACACAGGATAACTGGCATGCATGAATTAGTAGTTATAACAATTAAAAAAAACACAACCAATTTTTTTAGGTAAATAAACAAAATAACCACATATGTTGAGTTAGAAAGCAAACAGCATGCATTCCTTACACAATAAGATGAAACATACAACAACAACAATGATAACAACATACCCATTGAGATTCCACAAGTAAGATACGGGGAGGGTAGGATGTATCAGACCTTAACCCTACCTTTATGGGGTAGAGAGGTTGTTTCCGATAGACCTTCGGCTCAAAATAAAAGTTTTTGAAGTAGGTTTGCAAGAAAATATGACAGCAGAGGAGCAAGAGACAAAGCAAGGAAGCAACGGATAGTGATATACATTGAAGAATAAGAGAATACACGACTACAAAATAACACTATTAATACTGAGAAGCAGAGAGGAGGAAGCTAGTCCCTTGCCTCTCCCACACAAGATTCGGCAATACTCGGCTACCTATTAGCATTCTACCCTAATCCTTGACCTCCATAGGCTCATGTCTTCAGTCTTAATAAAGTTGTGTCATATCCTATCTAATCACCTTCCCTTAGTTCTTTTCGGCCTACCTCTACCTATATCCTAACTCCTGCTACAACCAACCTCTCACACATTCTTACCGACGCATATGTGCACCTTCTCTTCACATGGATGAACTATCACAGTCTCACTTCCTTCATCTTGTTCTCCATGGAGGCCACACCTACCTTGCCTCGTAGAACTTTGTTCCTAATCATATCTCTCCTAATATACCCACAGATCCATGTGAGCATCCTCATCTTCGCAGACCCGCACTCTACCCCATACAACAAAGTTGGTTTTACCACCACTCTATATAACTACCTTTAAGCTTTGGCAACACATTCTTATCCAAGAGCACCATTGAGGCAAGCCGCCATTTCACCCACTCTGATCCAATACATTGTGCAAAACCCACCGAAAAAAAAAAAACCTAAAATCCCATAGAGATCTTCAGGTGCTTACCTTGTGGCTAGAATTAGACGGCCCTCTCTTTTGTAAACGATAAGAAGGCTTCAAAAGAGAGAAACTCAGAAGAAATTTGGGTGGCCAAAAAAAGCTTCTAGGTCAAATCAGAGAAAAAGAGGGTCAGAGAAGGTTTTGAGTGGTCCGAAATAAGATCCGGTTCATATTGGAAGAGAGAGAAGGTCGGAAAAGGGTTCAGGCATGTGAGCATGGTCCTACCAGAACAGTGGAAGAGATGATCGAAGAGAAGGATAGAGGATAGAGAAAGCCGAAAAAGGGCTTTTTGGAGCTTACCTCGAGATGTGGGCATAGGAGCATAGTGGATGCATTTCAATTGCAATGTACAACTTTCAATGTGATGACTTCCTTCAAAACATCTCTTATTTCTTTCTTTCCATATAGTCCAAGCTATACAAAGAAAAAGGGGAATAGCACTCCAAGTCTTCTTTAAGGATACTTCTGGACATACAATTTTCCCACTCTCTAACCCATTCCTCAACTTTTTAGTACTTGCCCATTGGATTCCAAAATTAACCATGAACATGATCCATAATTGCCAAGTAAACTCGCAATGCACAAAAATATGATCCATTGATTCACATGATCTCTCATACAAGTAGCATCCTTTACACAAGATCCAACCCCTTTTCATCAAAATTTATTGTGTCAGACGTGCTCAAGAAACACTAGCCAACCAAAAACAAGTAACTTTTATTGGAATTGAGGTCTTCCATATCGTCTTCCAAGGTCACTTTCATATTTTTACTAATTTCTCAGCATTGAATACTTCATACCATGAACTGACGATAAAAGAACACTTTTTTATTAGCTTCCAAGAACAGGTCATATTCTTTTTCTAACATTAACTCTACTGATTGCATCTTCTGAAGAATAAATCACCTTCTTGCATTTCCTGTCAAGGTGGTTCCTTTTGATTGGAAGTCTCATCCTATATCAGAAAACATGTTTGCTAAACAAACTTCAAAATTGTAAGACAATCAATATAGGTTAGGAAATGGATCTTTCAGCAACCCAAAACACTCTCTATTACCTTTCCAAAGTCTAATCTTCTTCTCATTGTCATCATCAATCTAACATACCTATTGAATTCTTCGAAAGGTTACAAATCTACCTCCAAACAGCTACTTCATATGGTGCTTTAACTTCCTTAGGTGCAGGAATCCTCTATCCATATTTATCCCCTACCACAACTTTCTCATAGGTTTTTTCACATCATTTAACCATATCCATTTGCATAAAAAACTTTGATTGTGAGATCTAAGATTTCTAACTCCAAGCCCCCCGTCGTTCTCCGCCTTACTTAATGATACTTCATCTTCCCTACATAATCTTTCCATAGAAACTACCTTCTAAACTGTCTCTGCATTCTCAAATTCCCTTTCAACAGACCTACTCTACTCTTTCAATTTACTTTTGAGGGCTTACAACTTACAGGCAAGGATATAATCTGGCTTCCCAGATAAAGAGAATGAACTCCACCAATTTGGACTCTATCTTTGAAACTTGTGATGCTCAACCACCAGTTTTCGGATTTGAAGTATCTCTTGTTCTTGATCCAATTACCCCCTTGTAATGAAACAGGAACATGATCGGATGCCAATCTTTGTAGGGTACTTTGTTTTATGTTATTGAAGCTAGTATCCCACTTTTCTGAAATCATAATTCTATCAATTCTGGCGGCTCCATCTTGAGTATCCCCTTTGAATTAAGTGTATCTCCCATCTTGTAACGATAGATCTATCAACTTAAGATCATTTTTAATGTCTGAAAACTCCACCATCCCCAAATTTCTCCTCCTAGCATTCCTTTTCTCTGATATGAATCTAGTAGTATTAAAATCTCCACAATCAGCCCATGGACCTTCCACTAGACCTCTAATATCAGTCATTTCTTTCCACACCTTCCTTCTTTCAACATAACAATTAGGAGAATAAACTCCAGTAAAGTGGCAGGCAAAAGAGAGCTTCAAATTTGTAGGTTAAAGTGTAGGATCGAATCTCTAGTATCTCCCCATTCCATATTCTACTATCCCAAAGCATTAGGATTCCCCCTCGAGTGCCACTAGCCTCTAGTTGAGCAAATTTAATCCATCTACCACCCCAAATTTGTTTAACGATATCATAAATGTCCCCCTCCAATTTAGTTTCCTGGAGGCAAATGATGTCAGCCTTCCAGTCCACCATCATCTGTACAATACTCCTTCTATCTCTGTTGTTCAACCCCCTTGCATTCCAGGAAACTAGTTTGAACTGCATAGATCCAAAGCTAGCATCTTCCTCCCCTTATTTCTATTCCCACTGCTTTTATATTTAACATCAAAAAAAAAAAAAGCTTTTGAGTTCTTCCGCACCTTTGAACCTTCCTTTCTTACACACACTATTTATCTATATCTTTCTTGCATGCCAGCTGCTATCAACCTGTAAGAGCAGTTCCTCATGTCCTTGGATATCAACCCCAAGAGTTTGCTCAGCTTGACTAAATTTTGTTGAACCCAAACAGAGTTGTCTCTCTCCCCCTCACCTATGTTTTGATCCTGTTGTACAAGCAGAAGTGCCACCTCTTCCACCTCCCAGCTATATGAAATGGTAATCACGTTCTGCTTTTCGATCACCGCTAAATTCCCCCCTTCGTTTAAATTCTCTTCAAATCTGTCCTCTTGCATGTTCTCTCCCCTCAAAACTTCTTGTTTAATTGTATCTTCCGCAATTAGCAGAATCTGGTGTATCATAAGGGATTTGCCTTTTCTTTTGATTCCTGCGGATTAAGATCAGTTTTTCCACCAATTCTTCACTTTGATTCACCACTATAATCTCTTGCACAGTGTTTTGTTCTATGTCTTGCATGACTGGAAGAGAGATGTGGGATTCCATGTCTTCAAGAAGTCTATCCCTATTGAGTATGGGATGAGTTGAATTTGTTATTTTGTTAAAAATAACAAAGCTTGCCTAATCAGGCCCATTTTCCACTTCAATTAAATACCCTTTCATGGCCTCTCTAGGCCCAATTTAGAGCTCTTCATTAAAGAAGGCATGCGAGGTTAGGAGGATCAGTGATAGGTTGATGTTGATTAAGCTAGCCATTGGAGGATGTACTTTGAGTGTTATTAGTGCTTACGCACCTCAAGTGGGATTGGGAGAGGAGGCCAAAAAGCTCTTTTATGAGGATTTGGATGAGGTAGTTAGAGGTATACCGATAACCGAGAAAATTGTCATTGGTGGAGATTTTAATGGCCATATCGGGGCAACTTCTAATGGCTTTGATGATGTTCATGGAGGCTTTGGTTTTGGGGAGAGAAATGGGGGTGGAACTGCGCTTCTGGATTTTGCTAAGGCTTTTGAGTTGGTGATTGCTAACTCATGCTTTCCGAAGAAGGAGAACCATATGGTTACCTTTCGTAGCTCGGTAGCTAAGACCCAGATAGACTACCTACTCCTTAGGAAGGGTGATAGAGGCCTCGTTAAGGACTGCAAGGTTATCC